ACTCAAAGGAAAAAAACATGTATGTACCTTTCTCATTTCGTACTGGCACAGCTCCGGCCGTGGACTGGATGAGGAAACTGTTCCTCTCCATGGAGCCCGGTCCTGGTCCCCTCTCCATGGCGGACATGCTCGGCTTTTCTCCGCTTCGAACTCAACAAACCAAAACCAAGAAACTCGGTCTCGAGCTTTCTTCCTTGCCGAGGTGAGCTCTGTCTTTCTAGCGAAAATATTCGCCCCAAAACTACCCCAGAGACCGGTCTGTTTCCTCAGATTACTTCCAAATAGGCTCCAAGAAAATACTTCTTCAGCCTCACTACTAAAGATACGTAAATTAGGCCGCAAAATCCTTTTCTTGCGACTAAAGTGTGGACAAAACTGAAAACACAAACACCATTTTCTTCCAAAATGGCGTCTGTACCTATCCCACAATGCAATGGAAAAATGACCCCTAATGACCTTTATTGCAGGGACAATCCGTTATTTATACAAGGATGTCCAGAAATGTATTGCAAAAATTAGATGAACGCAAGGTTTGAGCTCCTTACCTCAAAGAGAAATGTTACAAAGGTTTTTAATGATAATTTTTTTTATATCAGGGATGTTTTTTTTGCAAATTTGAAATCCAGATTTTTGTTCACTATGGTCGGCAAACAACCCCCATCGACTAGTAACGATTTTCCCCTAAGTGAAAAGTTCAACATGGCTGCCAGTAATTTTGCTCGAGAGCAGCTCGAAAAACATGGGTGGAAAGAAGGTATTTATTGTGTTGGTAGTGGTGAAAAATATTAGCACAATGTTATGTAGATGTTTGAGATTTTTGTAGAAAGTTTGATCGTCTGGATTGGCTATTTTGGAAGAATAAATAACTTAGAGTTACAGTACGAATCACCACGTGTTACTAGTAGATAATTTTGAAGGGGGAGGGGGGCGTATGTAGAAAATTTGAATTTCATTGAATAGATTGAGAATGTACATATCTACTAGTTATGATCTTAAAAATGATTTAAAAAACTATCTTTTTAGATTAAGATATGAAAAAATCCTGTAGAATTTGGTTCAATTTCTGTCATGAGTTTTGTTGGGATCAATAACCTAAAATGTAATTCTTTATGGTGTTTCTTCATACAGGAAGTGGCCTGGGAAGACATGAACATGGCAGACCTGATCCTATCAAGGTCAAGTTAAAAATGGACACTGCAGGGGTGAGTGTAAGGTGTTTAAATGTAACCAGTGTGCTTTTACAGACTATAGTCACTATACTTACATGTTCAGTGCCTCCTTGTGAGAGACGCAGGGACTGCAGCATGATGATTGAAAGATATGGCAGACTCTGAGTCAATATGATTGCTCATGTCTTTGTCTGATGCGAGTTGTTCTGTGGGCTAAATGATGAAATATTGGAAGAAAAATTGAATAATTCTTCCACAGAAAGTTGTTTCATGTTTTGATTCATGCTTCCAGGTGGGACACAACATCAGTGACCAGTTCACCTTCAATTGGTGGGAGCACGCTTTCAACAAAGCAGCCAGTAACATCACAGTGGAAAGTTCAGAGGTCTGTACAATTCTTCAATATAGACCACAAAATCCCTATTACAAGTATCATAGTAGTATGCTGTTACACGACTAAGTTTGGAGCGCCTCCTCTTGGTAGACTCAGGAATTGCAGCATGATGATTGAAAGATATGGCAGACTCTGAATTCAGGTGATTGCATATGTCTTTGTCTGATGCAAGTTTACTTGTAGTTCTGAGGTGTAAAATAATAATTACATGTATAATGGTTGATCTAGTATAAGAAACTAAGGTCTTCCTTCAAACAGAAAAACAGATGACAGTTAAACAGAAAGAGTGATACATTATGCGAATATAATCATCTCTATCCTTTTTTCCCCAGTCTGGTGTGAGTGTGAAGAAAACAACAGACCAGGAGTTAAAACTCAGCACCAGTGAGAGTGTCATGACTGGCAAGTTTGACAACAAAGTCATGTTGTACGGAAGTTTTATAAAGGTAAGCCAGCAAGCTACATTTTTTTTCACCAAAAGTTGCAAATTTGTACAGAAAAAGGCATTGAACAGACATATTCTAAGCACTATTTCTGACAACAGTTTCTGTTACTGTGTTTTGCAGGGAGCCACATTAACCAATGGTATTCAAGATGAAAAAGAGGATGACAGCCAATCAGAGGACAGCTCTGATGAGGAAGACAAGGACTCAAAGGTTTCAAAGTAGGGCAGCTTTCAATTGCTAATGTAGAGATGTTCTTAACTTTCAATTGTTGAATATGTAGTGTAGTAATTTTCTTTCAATATATTTCTTTAAGATTTTGTAATTGTTCTACAATATTAGGTTGACAGATGAAGAACTGTTCAAGGCCTGTGGAGGAAGAACAGCCCACAAGTAAGTCCTTAATGCAAAATGAAACCTAATTATAATCATGATGTCACAAGTCAGATCTGTTACACTATTCCCCCTTTAATTAGCATACGTCATTGAGTATGCCAGAAGAATTAGGTTTTGTATCTCAAAACATATAAACATATTACAATGTATTTGCAACTGGGAGTATGTTGAATGCAATTATTTTGAAAGACAAAAGGCTTTGCTTTTGTGTAAAACTATTGTCAGTTTTCTTGGAAAATGGTCCTTTAAAATGAGAATAACATATGATATTTTTTACAGGGCTGCTCGCCATGGACACAAGTTGAACGGGAAACTTCAGAGAATACAAGAACAAGAGAGAGAACTGCTGAAAAAGTACCTGGCCAAGAAGGAGAGCAGAACTGCCTATCAGGAAGAAGATAACAGCAGCACAAGTAGTAGTCTTTCAACCGATCAGGGTGATTCTAACATCCACACCAAACCTTCTTCAACAGAATGTGAAGAAGTGAAAGATAGGGGAGAAAAGAAAAAGAAGAAAAGAAAGGATAGAGAAATTTCTGATGATGACAAGAAGTTGAAAAAGAAGAAAAGGCACAACAAGGAGGAAGAAATGATGGAGTTACAAAACAATGAACTTTGTAATGAAAATAACACTGAAGAGTGTGAAAATTCTAACATAAAGACATCCAAGAAAAAGAAGAAAAGGAAAATCAAAAATGAAGAATCTGATGCTGTGATCGTAGTTAATGAAACAGAAAGTAAGAAAGTCACAAAGAAGAACAAAAAGAAGAAGAAAGAAAAGAAAATATTTTAAGAAGAGCTAGAATGACAATACTTTTTATGAACTATGACGCATTTCAACATTCAATGAAATATATCAATTCAGGCCTTGTGTAAAGAATGTATCTAACAATATTGTACAAATCCAGTCATTTTTCTTCTCAGTGTTACACAATGTATTGATACAACAGACAATTCAATAAACTTTTACAGCTTTTCAAGAAAGGAAGAGCAAGAAATCACTTGCTGTTTCAGTTTCTATGAATGGCGGTTCCAAATTATTAAAGTACATGTGAATATGTAGCTGGAAATGTGTTGACTTAAGGGTCTTAAACTTAATTCTCCCAACTTGAGGGTAATTTCTGTGTGGTTGGTTGGTTGGCTGGCTGGCATGTAGGTTGGTCAGCCACCAAGATTTAAACCTACACATTTCCTAATGTTTAAAAGCAATTAACAGCATTTTTGCGCGGTTTCGTGTTGGCAAATTTTTCACTACAAGTCCCTCAGGACTACCACCCCCGCTGTGCGTAATGTGGTAGCCCTACAGTCACGTGACCACAGGTGATCCAACATGGCGGCTGAGGCCGACAGCAGACGATGCCCGGAGCCCGGCGTTTCCGACTGGCGGTGTGTCGGGCCGGTAGAACAGCTACGGAAACAGAAGTGCCGCCGACTGTACGCCGAGGCCGGCCGATCGCAGGACGTCGCGTTGTTCTACGTCGGGGAGAAGTTTTACGCGCTAGAGGCGTCGTGCGCTCATGCAGGTAAGTTAAGGTTTATGTAACGCGTTAAGGTAACGTTACAGTTTTGATATAAACATACTAGCGCAGTCATGTAACGTTATACTGTGCATGCTCAGAAAGAAAAAAACGGCCTATGTTACATGTAACTTTTAGAGGCATCGAAAGCGATTTCAGGGCTAATATTGACATTTGCTGCGTATACTCCACATTTTCGTCATAATTTTATACCGGCGAAGCGTTTGAACTAAATTGAAGTATAAAAAAAACAGACATCCTTCAAACGCTAAAACCATAACCATTTTATCATTAGATCTTACTTTTTCAACCCTCAGAATTGAATTGAGCCATGCAATCAGTACGCACGGCGCCTTTCCCGTGTGATCCGCTCCCGCTGAATAAATGAATAAATAAAGACATAAAATAAAGACTTTAAGGTCCCGAGGCCAAGCTTAATTAGGGAACCGAAGCAAGGTTGGTGAAGCGTTAAAACTGCTCAAATGTGGCAGATATGCGCGCAAACATGGTCAAGATAGACATCATTTATTAGATAGCAAGGCGTTCGTGTGAAAATAATAGTCCGCATTGTCACAACTAATAACAGAGGCAAACCAGAAACTATTTTTAGGAAGAAGAGAAAACAACTAGTGAACAGTTTTCTCACCATGATATTACATCTTACTCATTTTCGTTAACTCTTTTTTTGTCTGTATTTTTTATCTTTTACGCTAGCCTTTCCGTGCATTCGTCTCTTATGCACGTACGTATACCTTTTGTGAAGTCACTGTACAAAGAAGGATTGCAATTGGAGCGCAGATGGAATCCGAATGGCAAATAGCGTCTTAATAGCATTCCGCGCCTGCTAACCAAATGATATGCTGTTGCGAGCCCATGTGTAAATACTGTCGCCGTTATAATGAATCTAATTGGCGACTGTCACTCATAACAAAGATGTTTTCATATTTTGAATGCCAGCCGGCAGAGCGGTAACAACAGGCAAGCCAGAAACAAACTCGGATCGGGGTTAAATCAAATGTGTTCGGGGACAGATACATTTGTATTTTCTTTGCACAAGAAAATTAAAGGACCAAGTGATTATGATTTATGCTGTTAGGTCTTTTGATTTTTGACTGTTGTGCACATTATTTTATCCATATAGCTACTATGTATAACAAGCTTACTATGTGCGTGCGGCAACCGGTGCATGTTTATAAATTGCTGGGATTTAAGCCATGAAAATCACGGCCTTTGGGTATTAAGAGACACGCACGGAATCAATGATTGATGTTAAGGCTCGTAAGTCTGAATAGAGTCATGAATTAAAAGTGGCACTTGTTGTACCTCAATAGTCTACCAAATGATTTTCTACATCAGAATTCAAGACTTGAATGAACCAAAATATTTGGGACTCGGCTGTTCATAATGTTACACACGTACGTAGCTACAAGTGGATGTGAATTGGGTTGATCTAGTGTTGTTGCATGGCTTCTTAGATCGTGCGAATGTCATTGAGAAGCTATATAACCTCGGTGAAGTGCTGTGTACATAAATGCATTTATACAGAGTACATCACGAAATTAATCTTAAAACATGGAAGGCCTTGTAGCTGAACGTTATCTATGGGAACACACGTATGGGCACATTTGAATGCCGCATGCTTGCGTTTCAACGGCATGTTTTAAGTGCATGGGCCTCGTAAGAAGCCACACAGACATTAACTTCTAGTCTTTAAAGATGCGTTTTGAACGGAAAACGATTTTATCATTAAATATGTCAAACAAAATCTTTCCTATCTGACTCAACTCTTTTCTGAATTTTTGTGCTTTCCACATCGTTCATTCCGCGATAGGCGGACTTCTTTTTATATCCCACCGACATTAAAAAGCAGCACGCCCGGCGTTCGTTTGAATTCTTATCCATCCTTAATGGCTCAATGACTACCCCCGAAGGCTTAATTTGCGACTAGAGCCGATAGCCGCCTGCAATTCATTTGTGCGCCAATTTGCAACGACGTCAATTTAGAAAATTGGCACGTAAAGCAAGATAATGTTTTAGATTAAATACATTAGTAACACACTCGCAATCTGAGCTTGCAGGCCACTGGCGTTTGGAATAAGGTTTAGAAGAATTCATATTTGAAGCTGCCGCAAATTTATCTGTTATCGCTGTTGCTGGAGATCTAGATGGCGCCATCATAAAATCAATGTGATGTTGAAAACAACATCGATACAAATCAACGTAACACATGTTTATATAAGGATTAGGGACCGACCATTATGTTCTGTAGGCAGCGCATTGGCAATGGAAGGGACGATTCACTTGATGACCAATGCGGGTCTATATCGTGTCATAGCTTGAATGTCGAAAAATCCATCAAGGCCATTTGTTACGAATTTAGTTGCAAGTTTGAATCGGTATTTTCCTGGCAATTGTTGTTTCTGTGTTTTCCTTCCAGAAGGACCGCTGGACCAGGGAGACATAGAAGAGTTGAACGGCTGTTACACGGTGGTTTGCCCGCTACATTTTTACGAGTTCGACCTCTCCACGGGCAAGTCGGAGTCTGGGCTTCGGGTAAGGTTTGCTTCTTGGTCCTTCTGTCTGTTCAGTGGAATTTCTACCTGTTGGGGCACCCAAACTACTAGACTTAATCTTCACAAACGTACTAGACTTAAAGTTAAATATATTTGTTCCTTGAATTGTAAAATTTTTTGACAGAAACATAAATTCTCAATTTGCTACAATGCCATTTAAAAATGATGTAAAAACGTTATACTCGATTATAATAACCCTCGGCTTGGTCAAGAAAGTTATGTTTTCGATGCCGTTTGGATGCAGCATACTTCGAGTTGTTTATTCAAAGCTGTTTTTGTTGTTTTACAGCAACAAACATATGAAGTGAAGCAAGAGGACGGCAAAGTCTACATCAAGTTCAGCTGTGAACTTCACCTACGGCGGCCAGAGAGAAAATAAAACTAGGAAATTATGATATCAGAAACAAGGGATACTCTGCAATAATTAATGAGTTCTGCATAATGTAATTAGATACCGAAATTAGTGCAATATTTTTGTGCTTTGTCTTTTATAGTGAATGTATGGGGAAAATACCAACAGTAAGTGTGTATCAAGTGCAGTCTCAAAGTCTAGTTTTGAATAGTTAACACAACATCAACTTTTACTTTGTTCATATAAGATCTTTTTTTCTCAGAGCGTTTCCAATTGTCATGTAAAATGTTGAGATAGTCGTAGATTCTTATCATTTACGTTTACCTTAATTATTAGACATGACCATCAGTATAGCACATGGAAGTATGTATTTATTTTTGTATTAGATAGTGGTAACAAAATTGTTGAGAAGTGTATAAAAAGCTACTAGTATACTAGAGGGACATTTTGTGCAAAGTACATTATTGTGAATGTAGACTACTCAGGATTTTACTCTAGTTACTAGTAGCTATTTCTGTTTATTGTTGAAACTGAATAAACTATCAGTTCATACTCATTGTTTACTATCTACCATACAAATGTACAAATGCAGTAAGAGTTACTTTGTAAAGACATGACCAGAAAATTGACTTTTTGTAACAAACTCTGTATAAGGACCACCTGGCCATTGTGGCCCCTAAGATTACTTTTCCCATTGATTCTGTCTATTACTAGTATAATGAGTGGCCAACTATCTACTGTGGTCATTTTCTTCATGTCCACTGCTGTTGAGAATATGCTGGACATTCCATGTAATACAGCATCAACAAAGTATTGTGTATCACAAAAAGAAACAAACAAAAACTCCTTAGTAAAAAAACAACAGACTGTATATAGCAATTACATAATAGATACAACAAATATTTAACCTTAGATTGAAAGCTCATTGCTACTTGGTATTGTTCCTAACCTACTACTAGTATCCCTCACACAAGTATCAAAATGTATCTATTCTATTTAAAAGCATCAGAAAGGGGTGGTATAGAACATTTCTATACCATTTTCTATGTACGGATTGTTATCCAAAAGTACTATAGATTTTCACACACTCCTTAAGTTATCTTAGATAGATATATCCCTAGAAACGTTAGTTTACATCTCAGTAGACATACATGTGCAATCTTGAATTCTACATCATACATGTACAGTATAAATGTAAAACTTTACAGCAGTTGAGAGGTCTAGGTCTATACTGTTGACCAATATGACTGAGTACCATCATTTTTTTTCATTTGAGGTGGAGTTTTTTTTAGGAATACAGACAGAAAAAATGTTTCCTACAGTGGAAGAGGTTGAGCTTAAATAGTACATCTTGCTGAAGAGAGAATACCAGAATAAATAAGAATCACAGAACATGTTTTAGTTTCAGATAGGAAGACTGTATGACACAACAGATAGATGTGGAGATACTTGTTTGATATGTAGAGTCTATGTGTCTCCTGTCATGATGGCATGGAATTCTTCCTCATTGACTGTAAAAAAGAGAAAGAGATTTTAATAGTATAGTACATGTATAAAGGATTCATGTTGAGTATCAAACAATCTAGATAAAGAAATACTGTAATAGAACTTAGAAGGACAAAACGAATTAATAGCTACATTGTATCAGCAATAGGGGTTGAAATCAAATGCTTGTCATAAGCAATAATGGCCCCAAAATCAGAAGATATTTAATGGTGAGCATTTTTTGGCAACTGGACCAGCTATCTGTAACAGTGGGTCATGTGTTATGTGGTGGTTATTTTTGTTACTATTAATCTTGTATGTATGTAAAGATGAGTAAAACTAGAAAGGTAACATTTGCAAAGCAAATACAAAATGTTAACCTTCACATATGGTCTGCTCTGTTAATTCTTACTCAAACACATTCATGATACAAATGTATATCGTCAGACAGGAGTATAAATCCCTCCTGCTATAAAATTGCAACATGATGTAACCCAACACCAGTTACCATGGTGACTGTCATTGACTTCTGGTTAGGAGAAGAAGAATAAGGGAAAACAGAGCATAATAAAGGCCGTGACTTACTTTCCCCGTCTCCGTCCTTGTCGAACTCGTCGATCATGGCTCGTAGTTCCTCGTCCGTCATGTTCTCCCCGAGTTCCCGCGCCACGCGCCGCAGGTTCCGCAGACTGATCTTCCCGGAGTCGTCATCGTCAAACAGACGGAACGCCTTCATCACCTCTTCTCTCGGGTCACGGTCAAGCATCATATCTGTCACTGGGAAAGATCAACAGGGAGTTAAATTTAGGTGGCAAGGTGGTCTTGTGGTTGGGTTGTTGACTCAGAATCTGAAGGTTCTGGGTTCGAATCCCTCGCAGGATACAGTGTTTTGCCCTTGGGAAAGGCCCTTTACAGCTATTTCATCACTCGATTAGCTTCAGTTAGGGACATCCTCTTGGATGGGATGTAAAGCGGAGGTCCTGTGTTGGAGGAGAGTCACACATTAAACACATTAAAGATCCCACCACACTTATCGTAAAGAGTAGGGGACCTTCCCAGTGTGAGTGGTTCAAACCTTACAGCCTGGTTTCCATCTTGAAAAGGTGATAGTCACCTGTTATGTCAATATTCTTGTTTAGATATTAGTACTACTTTTTATGACATCTGAACATATACATGTACAGTATATGCTGTTTACTAGTACTTACTGACTTCCGAGAAATCTTCATATGAGATTTTCCCCGTGGCTTCCCTGTCGTAGTCCCGTAGGATCTTCAGAACGTCAGCCTTCTTAACATCAAACCCGAGAGCTCGCATGGCAACCTGTGGGGGGAACAGTGCATAATTCTATTTAATTTTCAAAACAAAATTTAATTCATCACAGCGTGTGAATATCCATTAAGGAAATTTACTGTCTACCTGGAACAGAGTAAAGGTAAATCTTTTTAGTAATTTTCTTTATGCCCTGACCTTGAGCTCATGGTAGTCGATGGCGTGATCCTTGTCAGTGTCGAACAGCTCGAAGGCCTCCTTGATTTCCTGCTTCTGTTCTTCTGTCAGCTCCCGACGCTTCCGACGTTTGGACTTGTCCATACCGAAGTCAGATCTGTGGAGCAAACACGTCAGATTTGAGTGGTTCAAACCTTACAAACTGGTGTTTATTTACCTGTTATGCGAAACACATACACAAAGTTTCTGGCAGTTTCTATCCATTGAAAGTAATAATTAGGACACGAAACCAGTAATTGTGACACTTCATTCTGTAATGACTAGCTATATAATATTCTAATGATAGTGTAGACACTACAAATTACAAGACAATCAAAACTATAGAGTTTAAAATATATGATTCTCAATGTTACTCGAAAAACAACTACAGCAAGGGTTTAGGCAATCGAATATGTCAAACTTCACCACTTTACCCACACCACTTTGCAGCCCTTTCTGTTAAACAGACAATTATATAGCAGCAGCAGTGCAGCACTGACTGAGTATGCTGCATTTTATGCACTGGAAATTTTGGAAAAAAACACACACTCTAAAAAGTATACTGTAGATTTCTTACATCAAAAGTAGGAATAAACTTTTCAGAGAACGGAATGTGCTGTACAAATTTTCACTGCCACATTCAGGATTAAACAGAAAATTTGTGCACTATGATCGACTATCGACAACTCTACACGATCTTAGAAACGACCACTTGTTTGCTAAAAATGCCCCCCTCCCCAAAACATCGACTTGTCAAAATTGTGTCGAATTTTCACGCAAAGAACACATATTTTCAGTACATTGTGGTAGTTCTCTAAAATCTACAATATCTAAAGCTTCTCTCACCTCAAAGACAGACTCATAGCTCACTTCAAACGGCTAGAATTGAAATACGAAGAAAAACTTTGGACGAAAAAAAAATACAAACACCAAAACTGGGTAAAGGGACCATTTATTTTTTCCCGAGTATGTAAATTAGGTGCTTATACATGCTAAAACGTTGCAAATACATAATAATGTGACAGAATAAGGTAAAAAAAACGAGAAAGCAGGACAATGCAGGAGAAAGCAGGAGAACACAGGAGAAAGCAGGGTAAAGCAGGAGAAAGCAGGAGAACACAGGAGAAAGCAGGAGAAGGCAGGACAACACAGGAGAAACCAGGAGAATATAGGAGAAAGCAGGAGAACACAGGAGAAAACAGGAGAACACAGGAGAAATCAGGAGAAAACAGGAGAAACCAGGAGAAGGCAGGAGAACACAGGAGAAACCAGGAGAATATAGGAGAAAGCAGGAGAATACAGGAGAAAGAAGGAGAAAACAGGAGAACGCAGGAGAAAGTAGGAGAAAGCAGGAGAACACAGGACATTGCAGGAGAAAGCAGGAGAACGCAGGAGAAACCAGGAGAAAGCAGGAGAAACCAGGAAAATACAGGAGAAAGCAGGAGAATACAGGAGAAAGCAAGAAAATACAGGAGAAAGCAGGAAAACACAGGAGAAAGCAGGAGAAAGCAGGAGAATATAGGAGAAAGCAGGGGAATACAGGAGAAACCAGGAGAATATAGGAGAAACCAGGAGAAACCAGGAGAAAGTAGGAGAACACAGGAGAAACCAGGAGAATACAGGAGAAAGCAGGAGAAAGCAGGAGAACACAGGAGAATACAGGAGAATACAGGAGAAGGCAGGAGAACACAGGAGAAACCAGGAGAATATAGGAGAAAGCAGGAGAATACAGGAGAAACCAGGAGAACACAGGAGAAAGCAGGAGAAATTAGGAGAAAGCAGGAGAATACAGGAGAAAGTAGGAGAATACAGGAGAAACCATGAGAAAGCAGGAGAAACCAGGAGAATATAGGAGAAACCAGGAGAAGGCAGGAGAAAGCAGGAGAAACCAGGAGAATATAGGAGAAACCAGGAGAAGGCAGGAGAAAGCAGTAGAATGTAGGAGAATACAGGAGAACACAGTAGAAAGCAGGAGAAAGTAGGAGAACCCAGGAGAATGCAGGAGAAAGCAGGAGAAAGCAGGAGAAAGCAGGAGAATGCAGGAGAATGCAGGAGAAACCAGGAGAAAGCCGGAGAAGGCAGGAGAAAGCAGGAGAATACAGGAGAAAGCAGGAGAACACAGGAGAAACCAGGAGAAAGCAGGAGAATACAGGAGAAAGCCGAAAAAAGCAGGAGAATACAGGAGAAAGCAGGAGAATACAGGAGGAAGCAGGAGAATACAGGAGAAAGCAAGAGAACACAGGAGAAAGTAGGAGAACACAGGAGAAAGCAGGAGAATACAGGAGAACGCAGTGGAACGCAGGAGAAACCAGGAGAAAGCAGGAGAATACAGGAGAAAGCAGGAGAAAGCAGGAGAATGCAGGAGAAACCAGGAGAAAGCCGGAGAATACAGGAGAAAGCAGGAGAATACAGGAGAAAGTAGGAGAATACAGGAGAAACCAGGAAAAAGCAGGAGAAAGCAGGAGAAACCAGGAGAATATATGAGAAACCAGGAGAAGGCAGGAGAAACCAGGAGAATGGAGGAGAATACAGGAGAATACAGGAGAAAGCAGGAGAATACAGGAGAAAGCAGGAGAATACAGGAGAAAGCAGGAGAATACAGGAGAAAGCAGGAGAACACAGGAGAAAGCAGGAGAATACAGGAGAAACCAGGAGAAAGCAGGAGAAAGCAGAAAAAAGCAGGAGAATACAGGAGAAAGCAGGAGAAAGCGGGAAAACAAAGGAGAAAGCGGTAGAAGACATGAGAAAGCAAGAGAACATAGGAGAAAGCAGGAGAATACAGGAGAAAGTAGGAGAACACAGGAGAAACCAGGAGAATGCAGGAGAAAGTAGGAGAACACAGGAGAAAGCAGGAGAAACCAGGAGAAACCAGGAGAAACCAGGAGAAAGTGGTAGAATACAGGAGAAAGCAGGAGAACACAGGAGAAAGCAGGGGAATACAGGAGAAACCAGGAGAAAGCAGGAGAATACAGGAGAAAGCCGGAGAACACAGGAGAAAGCAGAAAAAGCAGGAGAAAGCAGGAGATACCAGGAGAAAGCAGGAGAAAGCAGGGGAAACCAGGAGAATACAGGAGAAAGCAGGAGAATACAGGAGAAAGCGGGAGAATACAGGAGAAAGCGGGAGAATACAGGAGAAACAGGGGAATACAGGAGAAAGCAGTAGAATACAGGAGAATACAGGAGAAACCAGGAGAAAGCAGGAGAATACAGGAGAAAGCAGGAGAAACCAGGAGAAAGCAGAACAATACAGGAGAAAGCAGAACAATACAGGAGAAACCAGGAGAACACAGGAGAAAGTAGGGAAACCAGGACAATATAGGAGAAAGCAGGAGAAACCAGGAGAAAGCAGGGGAATACAGGAGAAACCAGGAGAACACAGGAGAAAGCGGTAGAATACATGAGAAAGCAAGAGAACATAGGGGAAACCGGGAGAATACAGAGAAAGCAGGAGAACACAGGAGAAACCAGGAGAACACAGGAGAAACCAGGAGAAAGCAGGAGAACACAGGAGAAAGCAGGAGAACATAAGAGAAAGCAGTAGAATACAGGAGAAAGCAGGAGAATACAGGAGAAAGCTGGAGAATACAGGAGAAAGCAGGAGAATACAGGAGAAAGCAGGAGAATACAGGAGACAGTGGGAGAATACAGGAGAAAGCAGGAGAACGCAGGAGAAGCCAGGAGAAACCTGGAGAAACCAGGAGAAACCAGGAGAAAGTGGTAGAAGCAAGGAAAAACAATGAGAAAGCAGGAGAACACAGGAGAAACCATGAGAAACTAGGAGAAAGCAGTTGAAATCAGGAGAATACAGGAGAATGCAGGAAAAAGCAGGAGAAAGAGTGAAAGCAAATAGTTTTTTTGTATACTGATTGGCGATAGGACTAGAAAATACTTTAATGCAAGGTAAAAAAGAATGATGAATGATGAATGACAGTCTTGACTTTTATTGTACGTTAATACTCTCACGAGTTAATTACAGGTCATAAAAGGTAAGCGCATTGATTACATAACGATAGCAAAATCTACTATTGCGTCTTAATATAAATGTATACTATGTATGTTTACTATGTACAGGTTCAACTTCTTCTCTCTTTCTAAACACAGTTGCAGATTTAAGACCTGATGATAAAAAGAAAGTACGGTGGAAATTTCATATAAAGGAATCAAAACGATTAGAGGCAGATTGATACATATACTGAGTCTTATAGACAGACGAAAATACAGACAAGAAGTTGCAATCTGGAGGAATTTCATTTTGGGGAATAGGTATTCTTGCATAACTATTTAGTGGTTACAATTTACTGCTGTCACAGCGTATAACAAGTTATTTTTCAAGAAATACAAGAAAAGGAAAATAACACATAAAGATTGAGCAAGATGTCATGCTCTACACTATTTCTAACCTACATAAACTACATCTTGGCCACTATGTAAGGCCACAGCAAGTAAATTTTATGGATGACATTCTCAGCCGACTCCAAATGTAATGCGCGCGGGCGAAAACAAAACAAGAATCAAATAAATACATGTAGTTGGTCTACACATCTGTGTGTGAGTTTTTCATCCCTTACAGAGGTACCGACAGCCTGAAAAAACTGCCTGATCTCCTGCTTTCTCCTGTATTCTCCTGCTTTCTCCTAATTTCTCCTGTGTTCTCCTGGTTTCTCCTGTGTTCTCCTGCTTTCTCCTGGTTTCTCCTGTATTCTCCTGCTTTCTCCTGGTTTCTCCTGTATTCTCCTGCATTCTCCTGTGTTCTCCTGCTTTCTCCTGTGTTCTCCTGCTTTCTCCTGTGTTCTGCTGCTTTCTCCTGTATTCTCCTGGTTTCTCCTGTATTCTCCTGCATTCTCCTGTGTTCTCCTACTTTCTCCTGTGTTCTCCTGGTTTCTCCTGTATTGTTCTGCTTTCTCCTGTATTGTTCTGCTTTCTCCTGGTTTCTCCTGCTTTCTCCTGTATTCTCCTGCTTTCTCCTGGTTTCTCCTGTATTCTCCTGTATTCTACTGCTTTCTCCTGTATTCCCCTAATTCTCCTGTATTCTACCGCTTTCTCCTGTATTCTCCCGCTTTCTCCTGTATTCTCCCGCTTTCTCCTGTATTCTCCTGCTTTCTCCTGTATTCTCCTGGTTTCCCCTGCTTTCTCCTGCTTTCTCCTGTATTCTCCTGGTTTCCCTGCTTTCTCCTGGTATCTCCTGCTTTCTCCTGCTTTTTCTGCTTTCTCCTGTATTCTCCGGCTCTCTCCTGGTTTCTCCTGTATTCTCCTGCTTTCTCCTGGTTTCTCCTGTATTCTCCTGTATTCTACTGCTTTCTCCTGTATTCCCCTAATTCTCCTGTATTCTACCGCTTTCTCCTGTATTCTCCCGCTTTCTCCTGTATTCTCCCGCTTTCTCCTGTATTCTCCTGCTTTCTCCTGTATTCTCCTGGTTTCCCCTGCTTTCTCCTGCTTTCTCCTGTATTCTCCTGGTTTCCCCTGCTTTCTCCTGGTATCTCCTGCTTTCTCCTGCTTTTTCTGCTTTCTCCTGTATTCTCCGGCTCTCTCCTGGTTTCTCCTGTATTCTCCTGCTTTCTCCTGGTTTCTCCTGTATTCCCCTGCTTTCTCCTGTGTTCTCCTGCTTTCTCCTGTATTCTACCACTTTCTCCTGCTTTCTCCTGCTTTCTCCTAATTTCTCCTGTGTTCTCCTACTTTCTCCTGTATTCTCCTGGTTTTTCCTGTATTCTCCTGCTTTCTCATGTATTCTACCGCTTTCTCCTGTGTTTTCCTGCTTTCTCCTGTATTCTCCTGGTTACTCCTGTATTCTCCTGCTTTCTCCTGTATTCTCCTGCTTTTTTCTGCTTTCTCCTGGTTTCTCCGGCTTTCTCCTGTTTTCTCCTGTATTCTCCTGCTTTCTCCTGTGTTCTCCTGGTTTCTCCTGCTTTCTCCTGTATTCTCCGGCTTTCTCCTGGTTTCTCCTGGTTTCTCCTGCTTTCTCCTGCTTTCTCCTGTATTCTCCTGCATTCTCCTGGTTTCTCCTGGTTTCTCCTTTGTTCTCCTGTATTCTCCTGCTTTCTCCTGGTTTCTCCTGTATTCTCCTGCTTTCTCCTATATTCTCCTGGTTTCTCCTGTGTTCTCCTGCCTTCTCCTGTATTCTCCTGCTTTCTCCTGTGTTCTGCTGGTTTCTCCTGCTTTCTTCTGTGTTCTCCTGGTTCTCCTGTATTCTCCTGTATTCTCCTGTGTTTTCCTGCTTTCTCCTGTGTTCTCCTGCTTTCTCCTGTGTTCTGCCGCTTTCTCCTGCTTTCCCCTGGTTTCTCCTGGTTTCTTTTGTGTTCTCCTGGTTTCTCCTGTATTCTCCTGTGTTCTCCTGCTTTCTCCTGTGTTCTGCTGCTTTCTCCTGGTTTCTCCTGCATTCTCCTGTGTTCTCCTGCTTTCTCCTGTGTTCTCCTGCTTTCTCCTGCTTTCTCCTGTGTTCTCCTGGTTTCTCCTGTATTGTCCCGTGTTCTCCTGCTTTCTCCTGTATTCTCTTGCTTTCTCCTGTATTCCCCAGCTTTCTCCTGTATTCTTCCGCTTTCTCCTATATTTTCTAGCCTTTTCTTGCTTTCTCCTTCTTTCTTTTATATTCTCCCGATTTCTACTGCTTTTTCCTAGTTTCTCCTAGTTTCTTCCGCATTATTATATATCTGCATGATATTTGCATGCATTGCTGTTTAAGGAGTCTAATTTACATACTCGGGACAAGATAAATGGTCCCTTTACCCAAAACGGGCCAAATCAAAGATGGCGGTTAGGTATCGAATGCGCATGTCCGTGAAAAAGTCCCGTCATGCCATGCGCATGAGCAAACTTCCCAAATGCCACCTGTTAGTGTTAGTGATACAAATTATGTATGTAAAAACTATTGAATTTTGAGGATATTTTACAAATTTCGGTGCACTTTAGTGAAAAAGAGGGACGGAGAAAACGTAATCCGTGTACTTCTACCTCTAGGACGAAAAACAACAACAAAAAAGGAATCCACGTAGTTTTGTTGACACCTGTTCAGCCCCAAAAAGTAAACAAGCATGACGTATCGTCCAATCGCCCCACATTACATCACAGATCAAATAGTGGCCTCGGGTTAAACTGTAACCTTCTGCAAGTTAGACCGAGCAAACACACCAGTCGGCCATCTTTTCTACCGTTTGTTTCAAACCCAGACTGTTTCCAGTCTCGAAATACCGCTCAAGGCGTGATTCGGATAGTTTTGAGGACAAAAATTCTTGTAAAAGATTTCCAAGATGAGCGAGGCAGGGTCTTCTTATAAAGATGGGGCGGGGATCAAGTCTTTTTTTGACGATGACCACAACAGGACCGTTAGCAGCATGGGAATCGACGATTTTCGCTACGAACCAAGAGACTCGAGAAAGAGAAAACGAGGCATCTTGTGTCCCTGTCTAACTGCTATTTTCGTCCTGGCGTTGCTAGGGGGTCTTGCCTGTGTGGGCTATTTCGTCGTCTTCAAAATGGCAGTGGAGCCGGCGCTAGGTAAGTTTGAATTCTTTATCATTAAACGTTATCATTACGTACCCAAACGGGCAAATTTGGCGCCATACGTGCGTTCAAATTCGCAACTGTCCACAGTACAACAAGCTACAATATTGTCGTTTTCAAGGTGTTGAAAGCAAGTTGATGCATAAAAGTTGGCGAATATTTGCACTACATTCCATTTTCACGGGTTAGGAGAGAATTAACTTTTTTCAGTTTTTTTTTGTCCAATCTAACAGAACTTAAGGTTATAGGCCTCTACGGTTCAGTTCCTCAAAGATAGAACGATACAAAAATTGCTACAATGGCGGTAACGTTACAATGGTATAGGTCAACATCAGCATTGAGATGCTAGTTTCGAAAATGCATTTCGAGTTTTGTTTCGAGAAACACTTTAGAAAGATGCATGAAATGAAAGAATGTAGAAGATGGAATAGGACATTGCGTCACGGTATCAGTAAGGAATAGGATATCTAAGTAGCATGAGCATGAAGATTATTCTTGCGATACATTGCTCAGTATTTGTGTATCACGGTGTTGCCAAAATTTGCAAACGGTAAACACACATTACAAACTAATAATCATAACTTAGTACCTAACTAAACAAACCGCGGATTTTTCTCTAAAGTTGAATTATGGAAAAAATGCCAGGACACAAGAGAACAGGGTATAGTAGTATGTGGCCTGTAACACGAATGGTGTTGTGTTGCAGTTATTGTTATAATGCGATTGACCCATTCTTAATGCAGTTTTACTTTGAATGTATGTAATTCCTGAAATGCAAAGGAAGGCATCGGATGAATTAAATTGAAGTAGAACTATCCTACCTGTATAGGACTTTTGGGTTACTGTAACAATTTCTCAACACAGTTCCAAGTGATTTCATACTTACACTCTTTCCTTTTTGACATTTCGATGTTTTAAACTCAAAGGAACTGTGTTATAACAACCATGAAAGCAGAACCCGTAGTGTCTTTGAATAATCCATATTTTAAGGGCGTTCCAGTTTAAACCGGTTCACCGTTGTTTTACCGTTACAACTAACGATTGCGACATATGTAATAAACAAAGGTCAATGACACACCTAGTGTGAATGTGACAGAGCTAGCTGGTCTAAACATATGTTTTTTCTACATACTGCATTTTTGTGAAATGTACAGAAATCTGCACACCTCATGTCATTTATTCAGTGTTCTTCTAGGGAAATGAGTGATTTTTATATAAAAATAGTTACATGAAACAAGGGAAAGAATGAGTCACACAGAAGGCCGCTGTACCTTTTATTTTTTTATTTTTTATTTTTTGCTTCAGTGAAAACAAGAGAATTGGTACGTGTAGTTAAAGAGCTATCTGTGCTGTAGCAATATTACGGAAAATACAGATTTGGGAGTTGGGGGGGGGGGCAATATCTTGTAAGTCACGATGTCAGGCTTGTTGAGTTTGTTTTCTTTACGCCAGCTCAGTTGAATTGTTGGGTCTGTTTGGTTTGTTTCAGTTTTCGCCGGTTCACTGAGAGGGTACTACAGCACGGTAATACGGTATAGCCAGAGCTAACATATGGCGGCTAGGTCTCGTGCATGTGATTTGACTCTCCTATATTTCACTGCATAGTCCTTCAAGGCAAATTTAACTATTCCTAATGCTGAGGTCACATTTCCAAACCGGGGCCCGGTTGGGCTGCTTTCGGGTACAAAAGGCACAATATAAAAAAGAGGAAAAAACACAAAAAGCTATAGAAACTAACAATGAGCACTACTACAGTTTTATTCTTGATATTTTTTGTTGTTGATGCAAACAACCTGACCGGGCCCGGTTTGGAAATGTGACCTCAGCATTACATAAATTGCCATGTTCTTTATCTGTGTCTGTATTGTTTGGCCGATATATACTATATTGATGACATGTACATCTAGTACATAGCCCTGTATACGCAGACACACACAGCAATATATCGGGATTAAACACGACAATTCAATGTTGTTTGTTCCGTTTTTAGGTGAATAGTTTGGATGAATAATGTCGAATCTTTAAAACTTAGTCAAAACTCGACTACGTGCACTCGTGGTTCTAGATTTTTTTTACAATTGCCCAAAACTTATCAACTATCATACATTGTATTACATTATATGAAAACTTCCCGATGATTCATAGACGCCTACAAGATAGTTTGTCGTCCCTTCCCGTGCCTGGCACTGATATCGTGGGTTGAATGATCGAACACAAACAACACCAGACTGCGGAACCACAGAATGCGCACTGTTAATATTTAACTTCTATTGAATGGACTGAGTCTGAGTCATGTCTAAAGGCTTTAAAGTACCGGAATAAATGAGACATCCACACAAAAACCCACGCGTGTTATGCACTTGATGAAGTTAAATTTTATACCATTACGTCAGTGTTTTGGTAGCTAGTGACCGTTAGAAGTGCTGCACGGGGGTGTTGGGAAAACAGCATTCAAACAAAACATGTCTACAATTTTTAAACAATATTTCTGTATGTATTTCTATATGTAATGTGCACACAAGCAGAGTATATACGAGTATTACATGTACTAGTACAAATGTATTACGTTTATTCTTATTTTCCAACAACATAGCGCTGATATGATCATGACCTGTTTTAGCTCCTTGATGTCACTATAAAGTATAAACATCCAACATTCTTGTTTCACTGTTTGTAAAATGTCGAATATTATGTTGTAACAGTAAAAATAATACTTTTCTTCTTTTTCTTTTCAGAGAAACACGTAGGAAGTGAGTACTTTTCATTCATTTTGTTTGGGTCAACAATTATTATCAATTTAATGTATAAGCCAACCTCTGCATCATTTTGTTTATAAATATGTGTTCTACTCAAGAGCGTCATTTTTTATTGTGCTCCAATTGACGAATTCTGACGTTTTCACTTCGCATAGGTTTCATATGAATGTTATTGATGTTATCATACATTATAATCATAGTGACTTACAATGTAACTTATTTTGTACACAGAAAACGCACGTAGCAAAAACAATACGTTTTCCTTTGGTAAGCATAATGATCAAGACATTCTCTTTTGTGATGCTGTCCATGTTTCATGTTGTATGAACCACGTTATTTTGCTCCCCAAAAGCGTAATTTTTCATAGTTTTCATAATTTTGCAAAGTCTAAGTGACTTTTTCATATGAATTTCATATGAATTGGATTGATGCTATCATACAATAGAATCATAGTGACTTACAATATAACTTTTCATTGTACGCAGAAATATAATGATAAAGAGAGCCATTCTCTGTTGTGATGTCTGTACATGTTTCGTGTTGTATGAACCACGTTGTTTTGCCCTCAGTAAACGGCACATGGAGTGAGTGGGGTCTGTGGTCGGTCTGCAGTGCCACGTGCGGCCGCGGGGTGCAGAAGCGCACGCGGGAGTGCGAGAACCCGCACGCACACGCCAACGACCAGCCGCTCTGCTTCGGGGAGTCGGTGGAGAACAAGCCGTGCAGCGCGGCTCTGGACTGCCCAGGTCATTAAATTAACTCTCGTTCTCGTGGAATATGAGACGTTGGTAGTCACGTGACGTGACGTCATTTACTGTCCGCCATGTTGGAGGATTAACAACAGTGGTATTGCGTGTATACAAGCCAAGAATTTATCATACGGGAGACATCAATCTAATATCTAACATGATTTTAATTTCTTAAAATCATATCGCCACACTATTAATGATTTATTCTATAGAAATATTTCTATGCGTTCCATATTACCTACATCCATAGATCTAATATGACGGATATCTTGACATATAATCTGTGACTTCGTATCAAAATGAGCAATATCCGGGCAACATGTGTTCTTTTAATGTGGATGAATAATACTTTAATGTTTAATCAAGTGGTAACTTCCCGTTTCCCTCAGATTGCGCGAGACAATGCGACGTGGGGACGCTGAACGAGAACTGCACCGCCTGCACCTGCAAGGGTCACGTGATGCTGGGCTGGGTGTACGACGAAGTCACGCGAGATCCCGTGCAGTTCGTCAAGGTGGGTCAGTCAGATTGACGTTGGCAAAAAAATGTACAAACCCCCCCCCCCAGCAACAACAGTTAGCAAATGGCAAGGCAAACAGATAGGCTATATAGGGACCTTCCATTTCAGTACCAAGGACAGGACCAGCAGACGCATAAAGCCCCTGTCACACATTCAGAACCTTCTCCGGAACACCAGCCGCGACCAATGTCTCATCAAGTTTGGGAGAGGTCTGACCATATTTATGCCACGCATATCTTTCTATTCGAA